ATAAGGTGACATTCCAGCAGTTCTCTTCGTGGAAATCCTATCAGCAAATAAAGCTTGAGGTAAGAAAGCCTCCCAAGATGTACCAGTTTCATCACTTAATTTTACAACAGCGCCTTTAATATCTTTATGACCTCTTTCAACCATACCTTCAGCTTGTGGCCAATAAGGCGTGGCTTCAACTACCTTTGATCCTGCCATAATTACAGCTTCTATAAAGATTCCTTCAAATTCAGATCCACCATCAACAGTAAAGCATTTCACGGACCCATACCTCATAATCCATTCTTTAACAATAAATTTAGCCACAGCAGTTGAAGTTAATTTCTTTAAAGGAGCTGCTTCAACCCAACCAGACAAATCATCTCTAGCAATAATTGCATAATCATAACTACCCGCCTTTATATGAACAGCATCCAAACTTACTCTTCCAAATATAGTACTTTCTCCAGTAGCTCTTCCCACCTCTTTTTGCTTCTTTCCACCTTTCTTTTGACAAATTTCACACGTCATTACCCACCTTCTAACTGACTCTTTCATTTCAGGCCACCAAAATCTAATTAAACACCTCTTGTAGGTCTCTTCAACTCCTCTATGACCAAGTTCTTCATGTAATTTCTTTAATATAAAATTTTGACCAATTAATTTCGAAATTACCAACCTTCCTTGAGGTACACCTCTTTTCTTTAACCTATCTCTTTCAACATAAAATAAAGGCGCCTTACTCTTGATACTTTGAAACTCAGCATCCATACAACCTTCAGGCCTTCTCATCTTCAATAAATACTCTTGTAAATTACGCCAAATACCTTCTTGATCCCACATATCATCTTCAATTTTCTCCTCTTCTTCTGATCTTATTTCCATATCCTCTAATGAAAAACTTTCATATACTTTAATCTCTTTTAATTCTTCATCAAAACTCTCAGCTTCTTCTGATTCACTTCCTAAAACTCTTCTTGATAAACCATCAGGCATTCCAAACCCCTTCCCGTGTTTATGAACCAAATCAAATGAAAATAATTGAATATAAGCTACCCACCTTGTCATAGCAGCATTAGGTAAACTAGGCGTGTTTATCATTTGAATTAAAGCCTTAGCATCCACTTGCAATTCAAAATGCTGTCCCCATAATTTAGTTTTAAACTTTCTCATCATTTTAGCCACGCCACATAATTCTAATTTAGGTTGAGAGTACCTTGATTCCACCTCAGAAAAGACTTCAGATTCATAAAATACTGGTCTTACCACGCCATGTTCATCTCCTTGCATCAATACTCCACCAGCAGCAATGTAACTTGAATCAACAGCCAATATAATTTTAGGCGCACCTTCACTATAATTTAAAGCTCCCAATACTATATCTTCTCCTATAATTTTCTTGAATTTATTAAAAGCATCCTCACAATCTTGAGTCCATTCCCAGTCCACTTTCATCCGTGTCAACCTTCTCAAAGGTGCTGCTAAATGTCCAAAATTAGGAATAAACATCCTTACATAAATACACGTACCCAAAAAGCTTAATACTTCAGTTTTATTAGTTGGAGTTGGCCAAGTCTGAATCTTATTCTTCTTCTTTTGGGCCACACTTCTTCCATTCTTACTCACTATATGTCCAACTATTTCTAAAGCTGGTACACACACAGCAAATTTCTTTCCACTAACTGTTAAACCTGCTTCCTCAATCCTGAATAATACCCTCTCTAAAACCACGGCATATTCCCAAATAAACTTTCTTATTCAATTATTTTCCTTCAATACTTCATTGTTATAATCACTTTCAGGTCCTTTAATACCACCATCATCAATAAAAATTCCCACGTGTTGAGGAAGTTCTTCTTGTAAAATCCACATCATCTGCGCCTGATATACTGCTACAGAGTTTGTTGCTCCTTGAGGTAATCTGGTCAATTGTAATCTTCCTAAAGGAGTCTCAAATGTTGTTAAAGGCCTTGAGAATTCCGCCAACTCTCTCTCATCATAACCTCCCATTATATCTCCCATTCCATAACAAGCTCTACCAGAGAAAGATTCCACGAATTCCTCAGGTGAAGGTGGTACTCCAGAATCCTTAATAGTAACTTTATTTAATACTTGAAGATCATGAACTATCCTCAACTTTCCATCACCTTTAAGCACGCAAAACACTGGACTAGAATAACTTGAGGAAGATTGTTCATAAAGACCTGTCCTAATTCTTTGTCTAACCAATTCAATATAATCATTTCTAATTGCAGTTGGTATAGGTATAGGTCTTATTTGCCAAGGCACGTGTTCCACAACTGGAATTGCATAAGGTAAACCATAACTATGCTTCAATAAACCTCTTTCCTCCTCACAATACGCTATTGCTGCCTCTCTTAACACCATAATAAACAAAAACAACTTCCATTCTTCTTCAGAAAGCCATCCTTCAGGTCCAAAATTACACTGCTTCAATCTTTCCACCGTGGTCTTTTCAGTTTCAATAAATTCAGGAGGGTTTTGAATTAAAGGAGTAACATAAGGGTCTCTAGATAATGGAGGCCTTTGAAGTGGATAATTTAAATACTGTGGCATAGGCGCATTCACAGGTTTAACTTTCTTATCAGATGGCTTATATTTTGTACTAAAACTCCTATAATTCCTTCCTTCATAATCCCTACTCAACATATCTTCATCTTCCATATTCATAATTAAATTCAATTCATTTACCAATCCTTCATCTAATTTAACTTCATCTTCAAACTTGAATCCATATACCTCATCTTCATTTAATTCCTCACGTAATTCCTCAAATAATTCTTCTTGTTTAAATTCCTCAACCATAAAGCCTTGCCTCTCTTCAATTGACACATTTAATTTCCTTTCCCACGTACCTCTATCAGGTTCACACAATCTAATTTTCATCCAAACACCTCTATTATCTTTCACCGTCATTCTTTCTCCTACATCTTCCTCAAAATTAAGCTGAGCCTCAAAGTCAAAAAGAAAAGGTCTTCCTAAAAGAATTGGCGTGTCTTCATCTTCTGCAACAAAGAAATGAACCAACCCACTAATATTTGTTCTGATACTAACTTTAACATTCTCAGCAATTCCACAAAGAGGAGTCCTATGTCCACTTATCCCCTTCACGCCACTTTTTAAATTTACCAAAGTCTGAACAGGAAGTAATTGCATAATCTTCAAAGGAATAATATTAATTTGAGATTCAGAATCAATAAGAGCTTTGATCTTCTTCTTTCCAATAGTAATTTCCACGAATCCTAGAGGTGTAGAATAAAGAGTAGCCTGAGGAACATTTACCTCCAATGAAGAATCTGAATCTGATTCATATTCAAAGTCAGAAACAGCAGTACTTTGAACAACTGACACCATAGTATTCTGATTAAGATTCAATCTTCTTTTTGATACCCACTTCTTAACTTCATCAGATATCACGGGTGAAATAGCACATAACTCCTTGATTTGAAGCTCTATAGCACCTTTCATTATCTTTTCCACAACCTCTGACACTACTTTTGTTTTATCAGCAAAGGCTGGTAAACCTCTTTCTGATCTGCTTCTAACAAAATCCCCGTCATTTGGAATAATATAAGAAGGCTTCTTTGTTTGCTGACTTCCTTCTTCACTCTTCTCACTTCCATTATCCTTAGGCCATTGCTATTTGCAGCCCACAAGAGAACCATGTAGGCGCTGCCAAAACAGCGCCTACATGGGTGTTTCCCACGAAAAATCACCTACATTTATGATGTAGGCGCTGAAAACCATCTAAAATGACGCCTACATGATAAACAACCCATGTAGGCGTCATTTGGTTACGCCTACATTCAAAAAATGAAATGTAGGCGTAATTTTCAAGCACCTACATATCTAATTTGAAATGTAGGCGCTATTTTTGAGCGCCTACATTCAATTTTCAGCTCAAATAAGCGCCTACATGCAGTCTTGCATATGTAGGCGCTCCAAATCCAACACCTACAACTCCAGACTGGTCTGAAGGCTAATGAAGAAGAAGTTTCAAGTTAAAATGAGAGTATTGGAAGACAGAAAAAGCAGTTCGGAGTTGAAATGAGTGTATCGGAAGATGGAAAACCCAGCTTGGAGTTTAAATGAGTGTTTTGGAAGACGGAAAAAGCAGTTAAGCATATTGGAAGATGAATATGCTCTTTTCAACTCTGAAGTGAGTGTATCAGAAGACGTAAATAGCAGTTCAGAGTTGAAATAATCTACTTCTTTTTCCGCTTCTGATACACTCATTTTGACTCCAAACTGAGTTCAGAGTTGAAATAATTTACTACTTTTTCCGTCTTCTGATACACTCATTTTGACTCCGGAGTTACTTTTCCGTCTTCCAATACACTGATTTCAACTCCAAACTGCTTTATCCGTCTTCCGATACACTCATTTTGAGTCCAAACTGCTTTTTCCGTCTTCCAATACTCTCATTTTGACTTGAAAATTGTTCTTCATTACCCTTCAGACCAGTCTGGAGTTGCAGTTGCCGGATTTGTAGCGCCTACATATGCAGGACTGCATGTAGGCGCTTATTTGAGCTGAAAATTGAATGTAGGCGCTCAAAAATAGCGCCTACATTTCAAATGAGATATGTAGGTGCTGTAAGGGTTATGTACAGCATGGGTTTACAGAGGTCACCTTTCAGCATACTCTCTATTAACCCTGGCTCCACGTTGGGTTCTTCTTCTTCACGAACCCCGACTGGAGCTAGGTAAGAGTCATCATCTAGTTATCTCATTTCTCTTTATATCAGTTCTGATTGTTTCTTCCTTCTTGACGAACCCCGACTGGAGCTAGGCTAGTGTGCTTGTAATGCAAACAAGAGTTCTAGAATAGTTTTCAGTGGTTAACGGCCACCGTGAGAGTTCCCAGAGTCCCAGTGAAGGTTTCTCTATCGAGAACCTTACACTTTTTTATTCTATTTCTCAATCTTAATTTTCCTTCTTGACCATCGTGGGATTTCCATACCCACATCCTGACATCCTTGCAACTCCGACGCCGATCATATGCCATTTAACTTACCTGCCAATTTCGCGACAAACCCTGAAGCCTTCTTGAGAAAACCTAGACCATCCCAACTTGTCGATTCACCACCAGCGCCTGCTCCTCCTCGGTACAACTGGCCGATTGAAGGAGAAGACGTCAACACGCCCAATCGGACCCTAAGGACAATCTATCCTTCGTCATCACATACGCTCGTCACCTCGACCGAACCAGAACCAACCTTGACACCTGACACTCACATAGTCCGAAATTTTTTTGATCGAGCCAATTTATCGACACCGTTGGTACCTGGAAGTTTTATCTTCACACCAATGGCACAGCCACCAACAGGATCCTTGCCACGTATTGGGGAGATTCCGAACACGGAAGCCATGTCTCGAGACGAAATTATTGAGACGTTGCAGGAGAAGGTTGAACGGTTAGAACACGAGAAGCAGGAATGGAAGACCAAGCTGGAAGTAGCAGCCGCTGATCGAGCTCGAATCGATGCACTCGAACTGACCATATCGCGACTGCTCACTGGAAAATCGCCCGAGACAGCTCGAAGTACCGGATCCAACAACCCTTTTGCTGCGTTTCGAAACCAACTTACGACGCCAACTCCAGCAGGACCACGAGAGCAGCGTACTGTCAATACGGAGATTGCCCAAGCTTTAACTCAATCGTCCCCAGTGCTAGCTCAACAGGATTCACCCATCCGGCAGGCCTTTATACGACCCACAGACAGTGTCCAAAGGGAATCACGACGAGTCTCGTTCACCCAACTCGTAGACCCCGAACTAGAGCGCCAAGCATCAGTGGATCGAGCCGACCAGGTCATGCATAGAAAAGTTGAAGAGATAGACGTACCACCCTTCCAAAATCGTCCATCAGTGGCTGAACCGAAAGTGTCCAAGGTCTATGCGAGCGATCTGAAACTTTCGGAGGTACCGAAATTTACTGGACCATCTGAAAACCCGGCAGCACTGTTCAATTGGCGAAGGCTAATCGAGCAATACTTCGAGTTGAAAAACCTCTCCGATCATCGCCAACGTTTCATTATCCTAGGATCTGTCATGGTTGAACCGAGAGCAGGAACGTGGTACGTGAACTCGCGTGTCGAACTGGAGCACTTGACCTGGGACGAACTTATGCACGAGCTGGCATCTGAGACCTTACCAACGGGTTGGCTGGAAGACACGGAGCGAAATATCAGACAACTACGTATGGGACCGAATGAAGACTTCAAGAGCTATGTTGGTAGAGCGCGCGATTTGTACAACCTTGTCCAAATCAAATCGTCACTTACCCCAAGAAACCTCGCGGAATACATCGTATGGGGGACACCAGACATCTTCCAACGATGGGTCAAAGACCGCGGGTTATTACAAGCCACCGACTTTAAACTCTTGCCGTTCATTTCGAAAGCGAATAACATATGGGATTTGGTCTTGTCCAGCAATCTACTACCATGGATTCAGCCTCGTCAATCTTCCAATAATCACGCCCCACCGCCACGTGCCTTGAATAACACCAGCACACCGGATAATCAAACCACGGAGCAGCGCGCCGATCAGGCATGGAGGTACCACTCATACATGAGGCACTTGGGTTTATGCGGAGTTTGTCGAACTGCATGTGGCAAATCTGATTGCCGCGGACCCGCCAAAGGACCCTACGTACAACTTCCTAGTTTGGACGTCTTCAACCCCGGTCCTCGACCTACCCGTCGTCAAGATGCACCTGCAGCCAACAACGTGCGACCGCAGAACGTGAACCGACCAGCATCAGCCCCTGGAGCCCCAATTTCAAAACCGGCGGGCCGTCATTCAACTCAGGCACCATTGATTGCGAGCATCAACGAGACACCTGATCTATTTGCTCAAGATCTGGCACGATATGAAGAAGCGGATCATGTTTTAGTGGCACATTTGGCAAGCGAGAAAGAGGACACAAGGTGTGTCAAGCCCTCTGTCTCACATACCAAATCAATCATCCTGAATCTGAGAATCAACGGTGTTGACGTCCGCGCACTTATTGACTGTGCAGCGGAAACGAATCTGATGGTGGATCGACTATCAAAGCAAGCCAAAATTCCTCGATGTCGCCTGGTCGCACCAATTGAAGCTTGGTTAGCAATTGACAATAAAGAAGCTGAACCCTTTTACTTTACTGAATTCTGTTTTGCCAACGTCTCGTCAGCGGAACCGTCATTACGCTTTGGATTGACATTTTTCAAACTTGCGCCGTTGGGAGAAAAATTCAATGTAATCTTGGGTACCCCATTCTTGGAAAAAAATCACCTTGATGTATCCCTGCATGACTGGACCGTGAAACATGTACCATCAAAGACTATTCTTATGGAATCAGAAAAAATGATTGAAAAGATTAATGAAACAAGGAATGAAATGATATCATGTGTTGTGGAAAATTTGAAGAAAGTGCAGGAGTCCAGAGAGTTGACAGCTAGAGAGGAGCGAGTTTTTAAAGAGTTTGCTGCGTTGTTTCCAGAGGAACTACCCCCGGTAGACTCTGATGATGAGGATGATTTCTTCCCTCCAGAAGGCCAAAGTGATTCTTCCAAAGTCCGTCACAAGATCATTCTAACGGACCCCAATGTGGTCATAAATGAAAAACAGTATGCCTATCCACAGAAGTACTGGGGCCCCTGGCGAAAGCTAGTAGACCAGCACTTAGCTGCAGGCCGAATTCGACGATCTACAAGCCAATACGCGTCGCCTTCAATGATCATACCAAAGAAGGACCCCAATGCCCTGCCGCGTTGGGTATGTGACTACCGTACACTGAACAAGTATACGGTGAAAGACCGCTCCCCTCTGCCCAATATTGATGAAGCAGTACGACTCGTGGGGAAAGGAAAGATCTTTTCTGTAATTGACCAAATCAATTCTTTCTTCCAGACAAAGATGAGAGAGGAAGACATCCCACTCACAGCAGTCAAGACACCTTTAGGCCTCTACGAGTGGGTGGTGATGCCAATGGGTGTCACCAATGGGCTGGCAACACATCAAGCATGGGTGGAAGAGGCATTAGGTGACTTAATTGGAGTGATCTGCGTTGTTTACATTGATGATGTTGTCGTTTTCTCAGATTCAGTTGAGGAAAACGAAGCTCATGTAAGAGAAATCTTACGACGACTACAGGCAGCAAAACTCTACTGCTCACCGTCGAAAAGCAAGCTATTTCGAAAGAAGATCAACTTTCTGGGGCATGAAATAAGTGCAAACGGAATCTGCCCAGACGAACAGAAAGTCGACAAAGTCACCAAATGGACAACACCTAAGTCACAAAAGCAACTGCTTCGCTTCTTAGGAACAGTTCAATTCATGAAGAAGTTCGTAGACGGATTGGCTCATTATGTCGGAACACTATCGCCATTGACTAGTTCTAAACGCAAGAACCAACCTTTCAAGTGGGGGGAAGCAGAAGATCAAGCATTTGAGAACATTAAGAGAATCATGACCACCCTTCCAGTGTTGAAAACCTTAGACTATAACTCAGATGACCCAGTCTGGCTCTTTACGGACGCCAGTGGACATGGTTTAGGTGCGGCGCTATTTCAGGGCGCGGATTGGGACAAATCGTCGTCAATTTCATATGAGAGTCGAACGATGACACCGGCCAAAAGAAATTACCCCGTCCACGAGCAAGAACTTTTGGCCGTCATCAACGCCCTTCAGAAATGGAGACTATTGCTTTTAGGGTTGAAAGTGAACGTGATTTCAGACCATCACTTGCTCACACACCTGCTGACACAACGCATTTAAGCCGTCGACAGGCACGATGGTTAGAAACACTCTCCCAATTCGACCTCAACTTCAAGTCCTTGAAGGGTGAATACAACACCGTTGCGGATGCCCTATCCAGGATCGAGGATGTAGCATGTTGCGAAGTCAAACAGGTATTCGAAAAGCCAGTCCTAGATAACATCAAAGCTGGGTATAAATCAGACCATTTCTGTACACGACTTCACTCGACCCTACCATTACAAAAAGGAACAGAAGTCAAGGATGGCCTCATTTTCCTGGACAACCAATTGGTGATACCTGACACGCTCGACCTGAGACGTAACCTGATTGAGCAAGTCCATAACTCAATTGGACACCTAGGAGCATTGAAGACCCTTTCACACCTACGGAACGAGTTTTTCTGGCCGAATCTTACCGCGGACGTCAAGAAATTCGTCGAAAACTGCGACACGTGCCAACGAACGAAAGCCCGGACAACTCTTACCTCAGGACGAATGCAGACAAGCAAAGTGCCGAAAATTCCAATGGAACACATCGCGCTGGATTTCATCGGGCCATTTCCTAAGGTGAAGAACTATGACATGTTACTGTCTGTTACCTGCCAAATCTCAGGTTTTGTTCGAACAATCCCAGCCTGCCAAACCGACACCGCCGAGAGAACAGCTCAGCGACTATTTGGCGCTTGGCTATCGATATTTGGTGTACCACGTACCATGATAGGCGATCGAGATAAACTTTGGACTTCCACCTTTTGGCAAGAACTCCACCGACTGCTACGTATCGAGGTGCACCTCACCACAGCGTATCACCCTCAAAGTGATGGCCGCAGTGAGAAATCGAACAAGACCATTGTCCAGATTCTCCGCCAATTGGTGTCAGCAAAGCATGGCAAGTGGCTTGAGTCCCTACCAGCTGTCGAGTTTGCGATCAACACGGCGGTCAATGTCGCGACAGGGGTTTCGCCGTTTGAGTTTGTATACGGACGAAAACCACGACTTTTCCCTATTGAATTACCGGCAACAGAAGTCAACGCCGACGTCAAGAAGTGGTTTGAGAAGCGACAATCTGCTTGGGCCAAAACTCGAGACCGCCTCTGGACGAACCGAATCTCACAGGCAGTGCAGTACAACAGCCGACGTAGAGACGGAGACACCGTGGCGGTAAACGACTGGGTCTTGATTGACAGTAAAGACCGTCAGCAGATCGTAGGTGGTTCCGGCAGACCAACTTCAAAGCTTCGACCACGATACGATGGGCCATATCAAGTGATCGAATGTTTCAAAGACGGCCGTAATTTCAGGTTAAGACTCGACGACGAGGATCAGTCACACCCCGTGTTTCATATCTCAAAGCTGAAGAAATACCGAGGTGAAGGACCCGTGATTGAGCAGGAAGGGACAGGCAATTGACCTGAGTGTCAAAGTAAGTTCCCACCTTTCTTAGTATGCACCGCCGAAGGCTACCCCCCCCAAAAACCTTTTCAAAAACAACTCCTTGGCCACGCCCGTGAGCACCGCACAATTTTTTTGCTTTGCTTCACTTCAGTTCAAACGACACGGACAAACAAGGAGGGACGGTAGTTGGCGCAGCAAGACTCAAGTTACTTCAAGCATTCAACAAATTATGTGGTTTTCAGTTTCTCATTTTTCTTTAGTTCTCTTTTCTTTTTTTATATAAACATCTTAAGTGTGGATTTTTTTTCTGCTTCTAAATGATATTATTTTAAGGGCGAGTTATGCCAATTTTTTCTTTTTTTTCTTCTTTCAGACTTAGTTACTTTTTTCAATTTTCTTTTCCTTTTTATCAAAATCATTCAAGGGTACAACGGCGTGGAGGTTTATTACTTAGTATACATGATTTAGGAATTTTTTTTAGAAGGGGAGGGATGTAAGGGTTATGTACAGCATGGGTTTACAGAGGTCACCTTTCAGCATACTCTCTATTAACCCTGGCTCCACGTTGGGTTCTTCTTCTTCACGAACCCCGACTGGAGCTAGGTAAGAGTCATCATCTAGTTATCTCATTTCTCTTTATATCAGTTCTGATTGTTTCTTCCTTCTTGACAAACCCCGACTGGAGCTAGGCTAGCGTGCTTGTAATGCAAACAAGAGTTCTAGAATAGTTTTCAGTGGTTAACGGCCACCGTGAGAGTTCCCAGAGTCCCAGTGAAGGTTTCTCTATCGAGAACCTTACAGGTGCTTGAAAATTACGCCTACATTTCATTTTTTGAATGTAGGCGTAACCAAATGACGCCTACATGGGTTTTTTGACATGTAGGCGTCATTTTGGATGGTTTCCAGCGCCTACATCATAAATGTAGGCGCTTCTTCGTGGGAAACACCCATGTAGGCGTAATTTGGCCAGCGCCTACGTGGTTTTCTTGTGGGCTGCAAATAGCAACGGCCTATCCTTATTAATTCTTCTTAAAGTATCTTCAAGAATTCCACGTCTTTGATCTTCAACATCTTCTTCATCAACATCCATAGCATCAATCTCTTCTACCACGTCATTAATTGCCACCTTCTTCTTTTTCTTCAATTTAAATCCTGAACCTTCTTCCACGTCCTTTCCACTTCTAGTCTTCATTTCTACTCCATATAATTTTGTTCCAGCTCCTGCCTTAACTTCTACTTGCTTCTTATTAACCTCAGGCATGCACCATTCTTCTAAAGTTCCACAACTAGCCTTCAATTCATGTACTCTATCCTTTCCATCATTTTTAGTTATAACACTCGTAGGAATAACTGGTGGTGGTACCACAACTGTATTGGTAGCTGGTGGTGGAACAGGATTCTGTTGTTGTTGTTGAATATTACCACGTGCAACAGCATTTGCTTGCTCCTCAGAATACTTAATTACTTGTTGCCTAATTCCATCTTCACCCTTCTTAGTCAATCTTGCGTCACTTCTTGGTAAAAAGAATCCATCCATTCTATCTTGAAGTAACCCAGCCTGCTTATCTTGAATAACCCATCTACACCTACCAACTGTATGACCTTCAGTGCTACAATACACACAAAACAAAGTTATAGGCTGATTATTAAAATTATTATTATTATTAACAGCTGGTAATTGATTATTGGTATTAGGATTATTGGGATTATAAGGCTTATTAACATTGTTATTTACGGAATGCGAGACGTTCCAAAGTGACAATGCGAAATTTCAAAAATCAAAAATCACAATTCCCGGGTGCAAAATTCAAAAATCAAAGACAAAACTCCAGAAAATACTCAAATACAGGGATAAAACCCCTGTACTGGAGTAAAAGTCATGGCAGCAACCCCTTTTTGCCCAAATTTCCAGTGGTCGACACCGTTTTCATTGCATTGTCACCTTTCGACAAAAAGTACCAGCAACACCAAAAATCAAAAAATCAAAAAACCAAAAACCAAAAAATACATTTCTCAAACTGTACAATTCAAACACCAATGTTAGATTCTACTGCAGCCAAAAACCACATGTTGGCCAACTAGCTACAAGCTCGGTCTCACAGGTCTCAACACCTCCGACCGGAGACATTCTACCATCTGTCTCAAGAGCTTCAAAGTACCTGCTTCCTGTCTCGCTCTCCTCCAAAACCTCTTTCATCATCATCAATCTTTGTCAACCGTCCTTGATCTTCTTCTTTCTTCGTCGACCGTCCTTGATCTTCCTCAATCTTTGTCAACCGTCCTCGATCTTCTTCTTTCTTTGTCAACCGTCTCATATCTTCTTCTTTCTTCGTCGACCGTCCTTGATCTTCCTTGATCTTTGTCAACCGTCCTTGATCTTCTTCTTTCTTCGTCAACCGTCCTCGATCTTCCTCAATCTTCAACAACCGTCCTCAATCTTCTTCAATCTTTGTCGACTGTCCTCAATCTTCTTCTTTCTTCGTCAACCGTCCTCGATCTTCCTCAATCTTCTTCAATCTTTGTCGACCGTCCTCAACCTTCTTCTTTCTTCGTCGACTGTCCTTGATCTTCCTCAATCTTCGTCAACCGTCCTCAATCTTCTTAGACCATCCTCGATCTTCTTTGATTATCCTGAATATTCTTCGACTGTCCTCAATCTTCTGCAATCCTCATCCAAACACCTTCAGTCTCCATCACCAACTACACACCAACATGCCAGCAAAAATATCTGATGAAATCTTGCGACCGCTTGTGGAAGAAGCTGTGGCTAACAACTAGCCAGCACAAACAGTATGCAACACTGTTTGGCAACGGCACAACATCCGAGTATGTGTAAGAACTGTTAGAAGACGGATCAAAGAATGGGACTTGAAACAACAAGGAAATTATGATGTGGAGGTTGTAAAGGATGCAGTATTAGATAATTACAAACAATCTCTGAACCAAAAGCGAGCTCTCATTGCCCTCAAAAACGAACATAACATCATCATCAGCCGGTCAACTTTAGCTCAAGTTGAGAAGCAACTCAATCTTCACCGCCAAAAGGATGATCTTGACATGGGTGTAGTAACATATGCCACCGTATGTAACAAGATTGAAGAACTTCAGATTGAATATGGAAATGTACTTGGAATCAAGAGTATCAAGAAGATGCTAGCTCAGGAACACGAGCTTCACATCCACCGGCAAGTGTTTGGCCCTTCTTGATTCATTTTGCTCTGATGCTAATTACATTCCAAATCCTCTTTTATATAGTGATGTTATTGCGGCTATGATGAAGGCAATGGACCCAGATGCTGTCAGAATGCGAGCTGCTCATAAACTCAAGCAACGGGAATACTATGCGGGCGGTCCCAATGAGGTTTGGGCTTCCGATGGACACGACAAGTTGATGAACTTTGGAATTGGTATATATGGTTTCATTGATTGCTGGTCTCGAAAGATCTTGGGACTTCATGCTCATGTCACCAACAGCGACCCCCGCCATGTTGACTTGTGGTATCTGGGGCTTGTAAAAAAGCAAGGTGGCATTCCCAAAAAGCTCACCACAGATCGAGGAACTGAGACTGTTCCTCTTGCGGGACATCAACTTTATTTCGGAGAAACTTACAGTTCCAGAGCTCCAAACTGGCCGTATCATCAATATGTTCCATCCCCTCGTAACCAAAAGATTGAGTGCTTCTGGGACAAAATGACTTGTGGACTGACTGGAAATATCAAAGCTAAAATTCAAGAGCGCATTGATCAAGATTTATATGATCAATATGATCCAATGGCTAGGTGAAGCTGCTTTTCATTTTCTTTGGTGATTCCATGCTGAAATCTTGATTATTGCTTTTCAGGGCCTTGTTTCTCCACCTGTTTATTCCCGTCTTTCAACGAGCTCTGGACAAATGGGTCAAGTTTTACAATGGTTTCTGCAGACGATACGACAAGCGGTCTAAATTACCTACAGGGTGTTCTGCAGACTACTGCTACAAAAACCCCGTGGAAGAATTTGGTGGGATTGATTACCTCATACCAGTCCCAGGTGAAGCGGTGGATGCTATCATTTCTGATGAATACCCGGAGCAAGAAAACTTGTGGAGCACAACCCCTGAGTGGTTTTCCCCGGTTGTTGAACGAGTCATGGAAGAAGTTGGAATTGTGAGCAGGGATTTGGACATTGGAAATTTTTGGGGTTCTTTTGATGTTGTATTAGCAAGATTGAAAGATTTGTCTTGGAGTAACACTCCCTTTGCCCGTGTTGAAGGTGATGACTCTATGGTATTTGTTTGATGGTGGATTTTTAAAACTGTTGCATTGAAACATGATTGTCATTTCAAACAAGTCTTTGTTCCATTTACCATCAAATCATTTTAAAAAATCTTGTATTGATCTTTGTTACTTGTGACTTGGAATATTGTGATCTCCAGTTCCTGTCAAGTAATTACGGCTGCAGGATTGTTCCCACATGGTATCCAGGTGGCTTCATCTATGCACATGTGGGGAAAGAGAAAATTGAAAGACTTGTGTCAAAGTCAATACACATGTATATTTGTATGACAGAAGAGGGCTTTGATTTGGTGTCCCTTCACATGTACAGAGGGAAAAGATATAAGATCACAACAATGAGCAACATTTTGATGGATTCAAATCTGTCTATACCTTCTACATCTTATAGCACATATTGACATCAAAATCTTCAACTTCATCACCCATAGTATCACCAGCCCTGACACATTGTTCTAGTTGATCCTTGGGAACCGATAAAGTAATTACTTTACTTGCTAAAGAAGCCTTTTTCTTCTGAACCTGAAGTATGATGGGGTTTGTCAGACATCACAAATTTTTCACACTTGAGAGGAAACTCACATTGAAGAGGTGCTGTTCAACAGAATCCTGAACAACTACATGAAAAACATTGACTGGATGAGTCTGACCCATTCGTTGAACCCGGTCAACTGCTTGCTGTACTATTTGGGGGTTCCAATGGGCATCCTAAAGCAAGGGCACTGGCAATTAGTGTATGCATCAGAGAAATCGAGGTTTGTGGATTATATCATACCATTATGTAGACCTCGTCTGCACAAGTCATATCTAAACCAACCCCTCCAGCCTCTATAGAGACCACAAAAGCATCAACTTCTGGGTCCTGATTGAATTTTTTGAGTTGGAATGTTCTCTGAGTATTGGTCATTCCACCGTGTAAGGAGCAGGTTTGAATGTGATTATTATCCAGAGCCACCATTATCCTGTAGTAAAGTTGAGTAAGATTAAATAGGCCAGAACTGTCTCAATGAAGAAGACTGGGACTATACTTACCAGTCAATGAAGCACCTCCACTGGGTGTAGATCACAGTCTTCTTGATGTCTTTGTTTGAATTTCTAAGTCTAAGATTTTTCTTTTCAATAAGCTTGCTGACCAAGTAATTTAGTTTAGTGCTGAGTAACCAGTCCTGTGTATAAGCTGGCCTTGCATTCCCCTCAAGCTTCCTCTCATCAGGTACCATTATTCCGAGTTCCTCCTCCATCTCAGTGATTCTCCTTTCCTCTGACTTGTTTTCCAGTTTAAACAAAAGTGGGTGATCACATGTCATTCTGAGATTGCTCAATTGTTTAAAGTACTCCCCTGGTTTGAATGTCCCTTGACGAGCAACACCATATTGGGTTAGAAATTTGTGATAATGCTGCTGATGTATAATCTTCACTTGTGGATGCAAACCTAACAATATGGTCTGATGGTGGATTGGAGGTAAATCTGGTAGATGGCTTGCTTTGGTCCGTCTGAGCATGAAATATCTCAATAGTTGTAAAAGTTTCCGGAGGTCACCATTATGAACTGGTCGTACAATTTGATGGTACCATACTGAATCTTGCTGAAAAGGCTTGATGTGTAAGAATTTGAGCAGCATGTGAAGGTCACAAATTCTGTTGTGGAGCGGAGTACCAGTGAGACAGAGCCTGTTGACTGAGCTCAAAGATGTCGCAATGGATTGTGTACAAGTTTCATTTTGAATAACACTGGTTAAAGTCATTAATTAGCCTGGGTCCCAATTCATGGGACTAACAAGGATTCAGAAAAGGATGAGACTTACTGAGCCTCATCAAATACCACCCTATACCACCTTGTTGTAAAAGGGAGCCGGGGTTTTCCCGAGTGCCGTACATCAAACACAAGTGTCATTGGGGTGGTGAATATGATATCAGCAGATTTCCATTCCTTCAAGTCAACTTTCATCCTACTTGCACCATGCCAGCGCATAAATTTCAAACCACCTCTTTTTGTGTGTTTTATAATCTCCTGTTGCCAGGTGTCCATAAGCCCTGTAGGACATATCAGTAGAGTGGTGTGTGAAGAGCGGAGATTGGTGATGAGATCTGATTCTGGATTATCAATCTCAAATTGTATTGCAGCTGATAAGGTGGTAGCAATTAAAGTGATTGTTTGTAAAGTTTTCCCAAGTCCCATGTCATCAGCCAGTATAGATGCCCGTGGACTAATTGGGGCCGGGTTATCTGCTGTTGAAATGAATTCCTCGCCACACAAACGGTGTGTCCACTTGTTAAAGGAGCCTTTGTTAACACATTGCCACAGTGATCTATAGCTGGTGGATAATGGGTTTTCTCTATCTAATAAAAATGCCAGGCCCTGTTTCTGATGAGGTTTCAGCTGAGATTTAATGATATCTGATGGTTCTGATGGCTGAAGATCTTCTCCACACTGGATTGATGCAAGTTGGGCAGCCTGCGTAGCCGAAAGAAGGTGAGTTTCCGGGAATGCAGATTTCCAGTCAGGGGTGGTCAGTCCTGTAATGTTGATAAGATCTACATGATGATGAAAGCTAGGATTGTAGCTTGGAGGTTGATCCAGTGAAATTTCATGTTCACACATTGTCTTGATGACTTGTGATTGATCAGAATACTTGATAAAGACTAATGCAGTAACTAAGAATTGTGTTGTTCCATTACCCTTGTCTGATGTGTTGAGGTAACAACTGATAAGTGGTGTGTGTAAGTGTTGGATATCCTTCTTTGGTGTCCATCCACCAGCTGGGAGTGAGTAATGCTTTCCTGCTTTATAGTGGATGAGATCTAAAATACAGTGGTCTACACCTCTGGGAACATAGCCTACAGAGTTGCCATTTGGGAGATAAAGTTGAATCTCGTGACTGACATCAGGTTCATCAGAAACCTTTGCAATCATGTGCAAAGGTGAATGGAATGGATGAGTGATTTCAATAGCAGATGAAGTTATTGAAGCTACTTTGAAGTTGATACCCCCAGCACATACTGGTTCTTTAATGTGATGTGTGGGTAACATGTGGGTTGAGTTGTAGATCTATAAATGTGAAGAAAACAGGATGAAATAATTTGATCTTTGGAGGGGAAAGGACTTCCTCAGAGAGGCAGTCTTTATATCACACATTGTGCATCACCCTAGACTCCAGATTTGCATGCTTTTGAGTATGGATCCCCATATTGCGTGAATCTGCAGTGTTCTTGTGGTTTCCCGCATATTCATGTGCATACTTTCACATACCTGCTGCCACTTGCAGATCCATGCGTGCATATGAAGATCCATGCACATGCACATAGGAGATAAGACTGGAACATCCCAGATGTACAGGGTCTGATCATAAACTTGTTTGCCTAACATGATGTATTTTCAAGTCATGAACACATAAAACTATCTTTTCAGAAATGAATAAAAAGTAAAAAGAATGAAATAATCAAGAGCAAAGACACCAGATACAATCAGCTCAAAAAAAAGGTATCCAAAACCTTGACAAACATTTGCAAAGTTATTACCCGATGTAAGAAAAATTAAAAGAAGAAAAAACCAATTACAAAATATTCTTTTCAATGTTACAATTCTGAAAAACAAAGTTCCAGAAAATCAGTTGTACATTAGGAGGTACCTAATCTTCATTGTAAGCCAGAACAGATAAAGAACATTCACAAGGGAAAGTACAAGTTAATACTAGAAGTGTGAAGGAGAAACAAGAAGAGGAATTAAAGTAAAATTCATCAAAACCAAATTAAGAGAAATGATTTCAAATTCAAGATTCAAAAGTAGAAGAAATCAATAGACAGATGGCCTGCTTAGGTGAATTGTATTCAAGTGCGGGAAAGGAAAAGTGCTAAGATTGAATCTAGTTTAAAATTGAAAGATTCTTTAAAATGATGGTTTCTTTTTGTTTTAAGAAAGAGTAATGAACCCATCATTTTAAAGATTTTTCCCTTTTATAAGCTTATTAATTGAAATCATATATTAAAATAGGTATTCATCATGTGTCGAAAATAATCAAAGAAAATATGAAATTCTTTCAGAGTTTCTGATGATGATTTTTACTACACACATAATGACCCGGATTTGTAAGATCCACCGGTGGTAAGATCTGGTACCTCTGTGTATCACTGAAAGCCCCATCTTCCACTCGATCACTCAGTGATCGAGTGGAATCCAAGTCCCTGGGACTGGGACCGTCAAGGTCCCAGATACTGTACCTTTTAAAGTTTGATGCACTTAACTTTAAAAGGTATAGTACCTGGGACCTTAACGGTCCCAGGTACTTGGAAACCACTCGGTCACCCAGTGATCGAGGAGCCCTGTGACAGGCCTCACAGACTCTAAACCACTTGATCACCGAGTGATCGAGTGGTCTAGAGCATCTGTAGGCCTTTCAGCACTGCGACAGGCCTACAGAGCCTTTTCCACTCAATCACCGAGTGATCGAGTGGAAAATGGGCCTGTCAGCACTGTCACAGTGCTGACAGACTCTAGACCACTCGATCACTGAGTGATCGAGTGGTCTAGAAGGACCCTGGAAAGCCCCGATATACCCTCCTAATGGAAATCCCGAAATTTTCCCCTCCTACCTACACAAATTTCGCCGGTTTTCACAAAAAAAACTCGGATTCCTACCTGTTGACAAAGGACCATTTTTTTTTTTGGAGAAAGGTCCCAATATTCCTTCCATCTGCATAAGGACCCTCAAAATCTGTGTTTTTGGGCGTTTCAGAGCAATTAGACATCTTGATTTTTTTTCCGGAAAAACTTGTATATTTTTTTGGGAATTTGGTAGAAGAATCACAAGAGTTGAAGTTGTTGAGAGAGAAATAGACTAGTGAGTAGTATAGCTATGTAGTGTTATGTAGTTGAGTTTTAAAAAAAACGAGTAATTCAATTCCTGGCCAGCCACTGGAGGGACTGTGTTTCCAGTTCCTGGCCAGCCACTGCAGTCGGTCCACTGCTGTAACAGGTAAAAACATCAAAGTGAATCTCTACACATGAGGGAGATCAGGGTCTGAGAATTCAATATCAAGAAGTAGAAAAAGAGCAGTCAAACGTTTCAGAAAAGGGACTAAAGAGACTGGTATTTTTTTGAATTTGGGAGAGATGAAGCGAAACAACTTGAAGAAATAACACAAAATCAAATCTCTAGATAAGGTGGAGAGAAATAAAAACCAAGTTAGATATTACAATTCAAGTATAGCTTATTTTTTTCTAGCTTTAGCGTGTTCAACAGCAAGTTGTTCGAGAATTGCCTTGATGTACTGTTTCTGGCTCATAGCCTTTAACATAGCACGATAAGCTTGAGGAATCCATATGGTGTTAGCCTTGGGTTCAGTAATATTCATTGATGAGGTGGGGGGAAACACATAGTGAATATCTGCTATATCAAGATGCGAGAATATGAGGCGATTTGGAAAGTTTTCTTCAAAACTACACGCTCCAGGATTCCCTTTATACATGTAAAGCTGGGTAGATGCATATGAGAGCTTAGATCGAGTGGACGATTTGGTGATCCACTCGTGCTTACCATTCTGGTAAATGTAGAGAGCACAGATCTTACCCAAAAAAAGCATCTAAAACGAATCAAGAGTACATTAAATGATCAGAGTCGGCAGCTTCATATTTGAAACAGGGGATGACATACATTGTTTTTTATAACCACAACAAACTTGTTTACTTCAAGTGGATTGTCTTCTGATACATTGCCACTTGTATAAAGTGTTTGTGTTGCGATGTCGAGAGTTGTTGATGTATTTTTTGCAATCCAATTGAGGTCAAGCTTTACATGAATGTTCCATCGATGTAAGCGATCCAGAGCCTTGTCCATCTGCTCAGAGTTTTTCAGCATGATGGCTACCAATTTACTACATGTCCGAGGGTCCAATTTGGTGGCTCCATTTGCATTGGCGTGATCAGAAGCCACAGGATCCTGGTGGTTGTTTTTTTTCTTTTGCTACGCGAGATATAGTAATTGTGTCTAATATCAACGAAAACTATCAAGATCAAACAAAAAAAATGTTGTGATCGAGCAGAATCAAGCTGTTTCAGCAACTTTCAGGCCATTTCAAATGTTTGGACTCGGTTGAAACTGGTTGAAACAACCTTCTTGCTGACCCATGCCAGACTGTCAGACATCTCGATTTCAATGACCATCAACTGTCATAATATGACATTTTTCCACACCCTTTTACATAAAAATGTGCAAAAAATTGTCTTACCTGAGCTTCAAACTCAATACTATCATGATTGGTATCTATACACAATAACATCGGGTTTCATTGTGACTCGATGATCATTGCTACTCACCTTATGTATTGAAGTGGGTAGCCTGGTGGCCCTGAGAACCCTCTTTCCTACCTAATGTGTAAGAAACCTAATTTTTTTTTCCACACTTTTTGACATATTCCTACATACAAAATAAGGCTCCTGTGTGACTTTTTTTTTCAAATTTTTAGAATTCCTACACAGAACATAAGGACCATTTTTACCCAAAAAGGCCAATTCCTACATACCCAATTAGGCGGGTATATAGGGGCTTTCCAGGGTCCTGGTCTAGAGCATCTGTAGGCCTGTCATCACTGTGACAGGCCTACAGGGCCTTTTCCACTCGATCACCGAGTGATCGAGTGGAAAATGGGCCTGTACATATGTGGCTGACCACTTACCTGGGTTACTAGGGTTTTGGCCTAAGTCAAAACCCTAGTAAATGATTCCCTTTCTTCAATCGATCGTTGTGAACGATCGATTTCCCTTCTCCTCAACCAACTTTTCCAACTCAACTCCCACTTTTTCACAACTTCAACACAAACTTCAACACCAATCCAAAACCACAACCTCTTTGAAAACTGGTAAGCCTTTAAATATCCATATCAATCACAATGAGCTCACATAAGCTGAAATGAAATTCATTCTGGAATATTGAAACAGTCTAGTTAATATCATTACATTCACAACCTTTTCTCAACTACTCCATCCAATATCAAATATAATCAAATATCAAGATTTGAATCGATTTACATCCTAATAATTTAATTCAATCATTAAATCAATCAATTATACATTGATATCATTTTATATATATATCTCAACAATCAAATCTTGTCAATCTGAAATTCAAATCATTGAAATACTCTCAAAATAGTGATCTTATTGAAACATCAGCGATTGAAGTAGTAGAATTTGATCAGATTGAAATATAATTTTAAATTATTGATTAATTTCAGGGTCAAATTAGTAACTCTTTCATAACTTTTTATATACGGGTCTTCATCAAATCAAAAACCTTTCAAAGATTAGTTTTGAACAATGTCATCTGAGTTAGACAACCGTCCTACACCACCAAAGACCTTCTTTGATCCAACAAGTGGGTCCACATCTGATGATTATGCCAGATCTAGCAATGAAGATAATTCTTCCGATGACGAGAGAGCAGTACCAAAGGTGGAGCCTCCTTCATTCAAGGCTTTTCCTCAAGCCCCTTCTACTCATGGTCCTCTGGATGGAGTCCAAAGTGTCGGTCTCTTTGACAATGAAATAGTAGAGTTGACTGAAGAAGAGTTCTATCACAATGTATCAAAAACTATAGCTATGTGTCATAGCCAAAAGAGCATCCCAGGACTCCCTCCTCGCGCCTATGATATAATCAAGGAGCTTGAGGAAATATGTGATAGGGCATATGAAGGTGTGTTCTGAACAAGCTGAGGGTTGATATTATCGTAGTGCTGACTTCGGATTGTATTTCTTGTTTCTAGATATGCAAAACGGTATCACTCCTCCTACTCTTCCAAATGTCAAATTCATTGAAAAAGGCAAGAGTGAACCACCTCCAAATCAAAGGCGCTCAGATCGAATCCGAAAAGGCTCTGCGAATTATACTAGTACTCAAGTTCGAACCAAAAGACCACGGTTGGCTCTGAGGTCCAAACCACCTTCAGACAACCAAAATGATTCAGAAGATGATGCAGAAGGATCTGATGAGGAAGACGAAGAAAAAGAGGATGATCAGATAGATAACTTAAATCAATCAAGTAAAAACAATGTCAAGGATACTGAAGACAAAGTCGAAGAGGAGGACTAAGGCAATCAACAAAAAAAATTCAAGAAATCTGAATCAAGTGGAGAAGAGGAAGAAGATGAAGAGGAGGAGGAAAGCAATCAACAACAAAAATCCAAGAAATCTGATTCAAGTGGAGAAGAGGAAGAAGATGAAGAGGAGGAGGAAGGCAATCAACAACAAAAATCCAAGGAATCTGATTCAAGTGGAGAAGAGGAAGAAGACGGCAATGAACTTCTTGAAACTGATAAATCACACCCTCAACAAAATCAAGAAGACTTTGATACTAATTTAGATGGTATTCCAATGGATATATCGAATGAAACTGAAGTAATTGATCAAGTAAATGAAAGTCTTTTACCAGTGGAAAAAATGATCAAACATAGTGAGGGTGGAGTTGAATACTATCCTTATCCTTCAAGTAGGTCAAGACATTTTCAATAATCGAAATGATGACTGTATTGGTGCTAACATGTTTTGTTCCCACATTGATTATATACAATTATTACAGCTGAGCCTTCAGGACCTTCAACTGGATGTGTTACATCCACTATGGCCGTGGATGATCAAACCACTCAGTCGACTGGAGTTTCACCATCTGCCAATCTTACCATTCCTCCGTCTTCACACACTATTTCAGCTGATACTACACAGGTATTGAATAATGTTAATAACATAACCGAAGCCAACAACAACCCCGATCATTCAATTTCTCATGCTCAGTTATTGAAATCAGTTAATTCTCTGGAGTTAGATAATGAAAAATCTCCTACTCCTGAAATCCAACAAAGTGATCATTCTCATCCAAGTGAAAATCAAAAAACGGGGCAAGACTCAATTTCTCAGACTGTATTATTAAATTCAGATAATAGTACAGAAGTAGAAAATCCAGTGTCTCAGTCCACTGAACCTCAAAATACTCCAGCCAAAGAAACCTCTCAGTCTCTTCGAAATAATGTTGCTGAATCTATTTATAAGTCTCCTCCAAACTCTATTAATGAATCGATTTCTCACCCTCTTCAAATTATTCCTGAAGAATCGAATTCTCAAGCTCAACCATTCAAATCAGGTGATACTAAGGAAGTTGATAATCCAGCCTCTCAGACTAACAAAATTCAAACAGCTCTCTTGGTCAATACTATGGAAGTAGAAAATTTGATTTTGGAATCTCAGCCTACTCAAGCTCAACAAATTTCAGTTTCTTCACTTTCTCTACCTATATCATCAACCACAGATTTGAGTATCACAAACAATTCTTCCCTGAATAATCAGGATGTCCCTGCAGTCACTGCCAACATATTTGGCTCGGATACTTGAATCCGAGGAGTCCTCGGATCATGTGTCCGAGATTTCCACCAACTTATGTCAACCGACATAGCACCGACTTGATCAGACCGACTTAACCAGCCCAACTTAATCATCCGACGATTAACCGAGGCTATTCCAAGCCGATATATACTCCGACTAAATCTAACCAACCATTCTGCGACCTAATCACCGGATCAATTCCCTCATCCAAATCAACCCCACCGAGTTATCAACTGGCCGAGAATTTCGATCTCCAAGTCATGAAGGTAAGGATAATTCGAATCCCATGGTTAGTTATCTCGGCAGCAATAGTTCTAATCGACTTAATGCTCTCTTTAACCGAGGTTTTGTAGCTCAAATCCGACCTAATCAATCTTTCCACCGACCCAACTATACACCTCACCGACCCAAGATCATCTTCGTCCGAGTCAAAACAAACAGAATTATCAGACTAAAGTAAGCCTTGTATTTAATCACTTTGCTGAGTATCTTACAAACTGACTTTCAATTGCCAGACCTCATCCTTAACACCTGAAAGGAAGCATTGAAAAACATTTCACGATTGTACCAGGTACTACACACTGATCATGTGGATAGCATCCAATTCGCCGATGTTACCCGTTCACCCGTTTCTCAAGAGCACAATCTAATGCCTCGACCACGAGAATCTATGCAGAGAATTTACCAAACTCATCTCAATACATTTAAATGGTATTCCTGTCAGAGCTTCCAATGGGAAAGATGCGTCTGAAGGAGTTCTCAACACCTTGAGTTGATGTGGGAGCGGAATACAAAACCGATGCACATAGGCATGATCACCATCAACTTGGTTTCGATGAAACTTATCCGACTTCTCATTTTACTAAATTGTCTTCTACTGGATTGATTTATAAGTAAGTCTTCAGATTCTAAAAGCTATTTACTTAAAATTTGATGTGACCTTACATAGTATTGATAGGTATGTGTTTTTAGATACTCTGGCAAACAAATTATTGCTACGCATTTGAAACTTGAATCAGATGACAAATCATTACCCATTTTGATGGCCGAAATGTATGATGATTTTGTAGAAGCTATTGATGGGGTTGACAATGTTAGTTTTGACGCCAGATATCCAATTGACTGGAATTGTAATTTATATTTAATAAAAACCCAACTCGCTGATCCAATTGTAGGGAATCACTCAGTATGAAGCTGTTAATCCGGGTGGTAAACCTGCTGAAGTTAAAGTTTGAAAGAAGTATAGGGGCAGTACAAGCTTGAGCAATTGGATCTCTTGGTTTAGTAGATTTCCATTTTTGGAATCAAGGAACATTCATTGAATTAGCTGGTTCATTCATTTCATCTTTTCTCGGTCTTAGCTGAATCCATATTGGAACAAACCCAGTAATTTGGATATATTAGACGTCAGTATCATCCCAAATAATAAGTACTTTTACATTGCTTGATAATTTCTCTCATTCTCTCAGATAATTATAGGTCAAGTTTGAAATAGTTTCCGAATTGGCCAGTTCCGAATTGTATGAACATCTTGACTATTACGCTAAATCTTGATTCCCAGGTCAAGATTTAGTGGTCAAGGCTTGCAAAGATTGGTTTACTAACAATGTTCAAGTGCCACAAAGTAGCGTGCTGGTTTTTGAATACTTGTAGTGCTATCATGGTACATATTTAGTAGTACTATCATAGTACTTATTGAGTAGTACTACTGCAGTACTACCAGTAGTAGTACTATCATATTTCATAGTACTATTGGCACTCGCAGTGGCACCAGTAACCTCAGTGACATTGGTATTGTCTGTACTATTGTAGTAATGGTAGTACTATTGGTACTATCAGTGGCACTGGGAACAAAGGGTTGTTGGTATTAAGAGTGTCACCTGTGAAGAATTGAGTTGTGTAGTATTATGTTGTGAGGTGTGATCTTTTTCTCAAACAATTTTCTCAATGATCTTATTACTATAGTCACTTACTCCTATCAAAACTTGCAATTTGCCCAAACAACAATTGTATTCTCATGTCAATAAAATCTCAGATGATGTCCATGGTTGATTTGTGATCTGGTTTGATCTTACCACTCTGGTTCAATTTATTGATACTGTCGTTCTTGAAAAGCTTGTCCAAGTTTTCCCGCCAAATTGCTCGAGTTTTGCGGGAAAACTCGGACAAGCTTTTTGAGAACGACAGTACAACAGCTACTATTGAAGATAAAGGATCTTATCAAAATTCAACTGACACTAGCATGCCAGCGGCGCGCGCTCATCAATTGATCTGACTACAATAACTACAAATTGAATGATCAAATAAAATAACTTTTAGTGCGTAGTGCGACCTATAATCGTCCAAAAACCCGTGCACCAAAGCATAAAAAGACAAAAACCATTGAAGGGTCAAGTCAATAAAAGCAAGCAAATCACAATCAAAGACAACCACAACAACACAGACCACAATATAGTAAAAACAAAAGCACAGATAGTGTAGTGCAAAAGAAAAATATATCAATCAGCAGATTTAACACTAAGCCCATGACACACACTGAAGAACAAGAGACATAACCACAACACCAGACCAATGTTCAATATCTGAACAACAAAAGAAGCCTCCTACAAAATAAAATAGGCAAATGTGCCACTTCAACACTGTACACATAACAAGAAATCTTTCATACATCCAAAGAAACATATTTTATGTCAAAGTCCTGAAAGCCTCCACTAATTCATCATCCTGCATAGACATTTCAAGATGAAAATGCTATAGCTTTCAAATTGGGTGGTTAACTTACTGTTACATATTCAAACAATCCCAAAAGTCTTTTCCAATAAGGATCAACATGACAATAGATAGTGATGAGGACTACCATAGTTTGAAAAATTGGCATTTGCAACCAAGTGTATCTTTCAGGTGTAGAATTGCACACCAGGCAATGTCTCACTTGCAAATCAGCAAAGTTGTAATTGAGGACATCAACAGAAAGTCTAGCTGGGACAGGATCAACAAAGCCTGCTTGTAGGGAATGCTTTAAAGTCTGCAAAATATGTCCAGCTAGATCCAACCACCAGTGATTATCAGTTCAAGTAATATGATGTTTCTGACCTCAGTTGCACAAAGATTGACAAAATCCCAAACATTGCTGCTGTATAAAACTAACCAGAGGTGAAGCCAGTTGGGTGGAGGCACCACACTCCACATTCAAGGATGATGATGATGCACAGTGGATTGGTAGGGATTCCAAATTAGTTTTTGAGTTGAGTAGATGCATTAAAGATTTTGAATTATTTGAGTATTGCAATATTTTCTGCCAACAATCCCCAAGACCTTGAGGCATTTGATACAACCAATTCTGTCACACAGAACACAAGAGAAACAAACTGCACAAATGAACAATTAAGATCTTTGAAGTGCTGACCACAAAGAGCAATGATTTCTGCCATCACGTCTATGCGAATGGAGGACGGATCCAATAAGCTTTCTGGAAAAGGCAGATGGCCCTGAACATAATTTTTGTCCCCAACCAATAAAACCTCCTTGAGCTGCTCAGACACAAACTACATACCAGTGAAACAAATGCTTTGCACAGCAGAAAAAGTAGTAATCCGGAGTGAATCCCTCTACGACAGCAGCAGGACTTCAAACATCACAGGAGTACACAAATATAAAAATTCATAAACGAACAGAAAAATAACTGCACTGCAAGATTTGGACAACAAACGCAAGAAAGTATGTGCTTCAAAGGTATCAAATGTAAAATGCGGTCATTCTACACCAGGAAAGCTGATGATAATACATAAAAAACTTTCATGACATGCAATACACACAATAGATGCAAGCCATGCCAGACATACAATATATTATGTATACAATATACAAAAAATTCCAGACATAACAGACATACAATATATACAATATATTTCAAGAACAAGCAAGTTGTTGTAGAGTAAAATTATGTAAAAGCTGAAACCCCCTAACATACACTGACATTCAATCAATGACATGCATTACATTTACAATACAATACAATACAATACAATACAATACAATACAATACAATACAATACAATACAATACAATACAATACAATACAATACAATACAATACCCACTGGTCAAAAGCTTATAAGTTCCTCAGGAGAACTGTCAACTATAAAAAGTGTCATTAGGAAGTTTTGTTAAGATTTCCTCTGAGTTCCATTGTAGACTTCAGTTCTCTTTCCAGTTAGGGATAACTTTGGGAACATTTTATTCTTTTGATAAGTAAACTGATGAGTTTCTCTCTGTTGTGTTGTGTATGCTGTGTATGTATTGTATGTATTGTATGTTTTGTATGTTTTTTTGTATGTATCAAGGGGTTTGAAGTTTATTTGTTTTCTATGTAGACCTCTATTTCACATTACCCATGGAATGCATTGACATTCAGGACACATTTCTTGTGTAGTTCCTCTCACACAAGCAAGCCAAGTGCTATATGTCCTGTATGTCTGGTATATAGTGAATGTTTTGAACTTTTCAAATTTCTGAATGTTTTGTGTCTTTGGTGCGTAGAGTATGTATGGTGTGTATGACATGTAAGGCATTTATTGTATGTATGCATTATATGTATGGTGCGTACATGTAAGGCATTTATTGTATTCATTATATGTATGGGGCATATGTGGCATATGGTATATACAAGGCCGCCACATATAGGGTGCCAGTACCGGTACTGTACTGTACCGTACCTGGTCTCCTTGTAATTGTATTTGCGGTTATTGTAACCGGATGAGGGGTACGGCACCATGCCCCCCTGTTGAGCGGTAGCGGAGGACCCAGTACGGTATTGCGTACCGTAATCAATTTCTGGTACGATACCAGATACCCGGTTTTCCAGTATCACAAAACAGGTACAGTATCAGTACTGTACCCTAGTGGCGGCCCTCTGGGCCATGCCTTCATATCTATACACATTTATAAGTCCATTCCCTTGTCATCCCCCTCAATATACCTGCATTGGGCTAAAGTCACCCAACTCATCCAACTAATGTTAAGGTACTACAGTACGGTGCCATACCGTTGGTGCAAGATACGGTACGGTACCATACTGCCGTTGTGTCTCACAATACAGTATAGTACTGTATCCTCGCTGTATGGGAAGATACAGCATCCCCTCTGAGTAGAAATAGTATTGTGGACTACGGTACAGTACTCAGTACCGTACCATAGGTCAGGTACAATATCAGATACCAAGTTCATGGGTATTGTAACCACAGATACGGTACTGGTATCGCTGGTACAATACCAGGATCATATCTGTGGCGGCCTTGGTATATATGAAATTTACAGTGTTTATGTTATGCATTGTATGCATGGAATGTATGGCATGTAGGCTATGTATTGTGTATTGTATGTATTGTATGTTTATATTGTGTGTATTATGTTTTGTATGTATTAGGGTGTTTCAAGTTCAATCAATTTTTACATAATTTTTATAAATTTGGGTAAGGTTTTTGTATCCTTTTTTTGTAAAAACAACATGTCTTTAATTTGGGACACCTAAAAAGGTGTCCTGCTTTGAAAAACTAACACATATATTACAACAATGAGCAAGTTGTTGTAGCGTAAAAATTTGTAAAAAAAAAGTTAACTTGAAACCCCCTATTGTTTCATTTGTTTCATTTGTATGTATTGTATGTATTGTATATATTGTTGGTGTTGTATGTTTAGTTTGAATCAAGAGATTCCAAGCTTATTTACGTTTCATGTCTACTTCTATCCCACAGTGTCCGTTGATTGCAACCTTGAAGTTTAGGTCACATTTCTTGTGTAGTTCCTCAAAGTGATATGAGTGTTGTATTTCTTGTATGTCTGTCAGTGTGGCGTAGTACATTCTTTGCATTTGTGTATATATGGTGTAGACAGGTAAGGGGTATATGATATGCATGGTATATGCATGGTGTATATGGTATGTATGGTGCATATGATATGTATGGTGTATACAGTGTATATGGTATGTATCTATTACATGGTATATATAGTGTATATGGTGTATATGGTATGCTTGGTATGTATGGTATGTTTGGTATGTCTGGGATTTTTGTTTCCTCTATGATCTTTGTATCTATCAAGGGGGTTCAATTTTGTCTACCTTTGTTGTATACCCCTATTCCACAGTGCCCTTTGAATGCAAACTTGAAATTGAGACCACATCTCTTGTGCGGTCTGTCTCACACAAATGGGTTTAGTATAATATGTCATGTATGTCATGTATGTCTTGCATGTCTTGCATGTCATGTATGTCATGTATGTCTTGTATTCAGTGTAAGTTTTGTATTTTTGTTATATATGTTGTGTATTTTTTGTAAGTATAGTGTGTATAGTATCTATGGCATTTTTGGTATGCACGCTGTATATGGGGTAGATTGTATGTAGTGTATGTATTGTTTCTGCTGTGTGTTTTTTATCTATCAAGGGGGTTCAAGTTTCTTTATTTTTGAGTTATACTTCCATGTTACAATACCCATGGAATGTCCCTGGTATGCTCCTCCAAAGGGTGTCATCTGGAAATGTGCCTCGATGTGCCTTTTGAGCTCCCGCGGAACCCCAACCCTTCCAAATTGATCAAGTCATCTCACGTCCTTCCCTGGCTTTGCCCACAGCGGTCAAAACAGTTTGATTGGTTTCATCTTTGCACAGACTTCTTTGGTACCTTTCACAACCTCACAAAGCCACAATTAAATTGAAAAGATGGCCAGAACAAATGGCAAAAACGGGCAGAAAGAATGAGGCCTGCTCATATCCCATGAAGCACAGCCAACAAAGATGCCTCGGATTGAAAAATCCAAGGTAGCATCGGACTCAAATCCTCGGACAAAATCTTTCCAAGTTTTTGATCCGAGGTATTATTTTGCGTCAAAAAATACCTCGGATCAAATCTCGGACAAGACCTGTCCGAGGGTTTCCATCCGATGATGCCTCGGATTTTTCAATCTGAGGCATCTATGTTGGCGGTGAAGTGTAACACCGCGGGATCTCTTAATTTCACACAAACACATTGAGTATGATATGTCATTCATGTCTTGTATACATTGTATGTCTTGTATACATTGTATCTATTGTCAGTATGATGAACAAACCTGAACACCTTTGGTAGAAAAAAACCATACAGGACAAACAATAGATACAAAAAGGGTAGTCAAAGAAAGAATCCCAGGGCTGTACGGCCCCGGGGCTTTATGCATTATGACCACCATCATCCAGATTTTTCCGCCAAAACGCTGTGCATTATTATATTATGCATTAATCTTAAAGTTGGCCCACACCCTCGTGGTGGAACCCAAGCCTTATGCAAGATAGCCGATTGTGCATTTGCGCAGGTATGCATTTGCGCAGGTTTAACTGTATGCTAATTATGGTATGTAATGTGTCTATTGTGTTTGGTATGTATTGTATGTATTGTTTGCTTTGTATATTTTGTGTGTATCAAGGGGTTTCAAGCGTGTTTATTTTCTACTTGTATGTCTATCTGACAGTGCCCATTGACTGCAGCTTTCTTGTGTAGTCCCTCTCACACAAGCAAGCTGAGTATGGTATGTCCTCTAATTCTGGTATGCAGTGGATATTCTAATTTTTGTTGATTTTTTGATTTTTTTGTGTCTACAGTATGTAAGAGATGTATGATGTTATGCTGCATATAGTATATATGGAACACATACTGTAGTGCTACTATCAGTACCATTAGTACTACTATCAGTATGGGTACTATAGTACTAGAGTACTAATACTGATAGTACTATATAGTAGTATAGTACTAAGACTGATAGTACTATATAGTACTATCAGTCTTAGTACTATCAGTATGAGTACTATAGTACTATCGGTACTATAGTACTATAGTACTATAGTACTATAGTACTCATACTGGTAGTACTATAGTACTAGACTGATAGTACTATATAGTACTATAGTACTATAGTACTAAGACATAATAGTCATACTGATAGTACTATAGTACTAGAGTACTAATACTGATAGTACTAAGACATAATAGTCATACTGATAGTACTATAGTACTAGAGTACTAATACTGATAGTACTATAGTACTAAGACATAATAGTCATACTGATAGTACTATAGTACTAAGACATAATAGTCATACTGATAGTACTATAGTACTAGAGTACTAATACTGATAGTACTATATAGTACTATAGTACTATAGTATTAAGACATAATAGTCATACTGATAGTACTATAGTACTATAGTACTAATACTGATGGTACTATAGTACTACAGTATACTATAGTACTGATACTGATAGTATTATAGTGCTATAGTACTAATACTGATGGTACCATATTACTATAGTACTATAGTACTAAGACAAAGTAGTCATACTGATAGTACTATAGTATTATTGTACTAAGATTTATAGTACGATAGTACTATGGTAGTCATACT